AAAGTGGAATCATTTGTGTAACACTAGTATTGAAACAAAGCATGACAAGGTGCTGGATTGCTGGGACTGACCTGTATTGATAATAATGTAGAGTTTTCTTCAGGAGAACTGAGTGAGTCAAAACCATGTGTTTGCAAAAGTGGAAGGTACGGCAGAAAAAGTGTGGATAAAACGAGCTACTTCTTTTCAGTCCACTCAGGAGAATCGAGCCGCTACTCAGAGCATCCAGTGCCGTGACCCGGATTCGAACCGGGGTTGCTGCGGGCACAACGCAGAGTACTAACCACTATACGATCACGGCGCACAGTAAAAGGGAGATAGAAAAACTGTTCCATGTCCTGCTCGAGAAACTGGCTTGCCATAGTTGCAAATGTGGAGATGACGAAAACATTACCTTTTTTCACAAGCTTGAATCAAATTATTCTTTTTATACTGTTCGGTTTCATGTTCTATATCACTGTGACAAAATCTTCTCCTGATTGTTAATCTTCACCTAAAAGTTTGCACAGCTGATTAGTAGAATGGGCCTGGTGTAAAACCTTGCTTATGATAATGGCAAATGTGGAGATGACGAGAACATGAACATTTTTTCACAAGCTTGAACATAAGTACATTTTTGCAATACTGTTCTGTTTGATCTGCCATTTCAATGCGAAAAATATTTTTTTTGGATTGCTGATCTTCACGGAAATAGCCGAACTGCTGATTAATAGGATCAGCTGTGCCACATTAGGGTTTAATGCAAAAGTTACTCAGGAATTACGCGTTCAAAAGCTCCGCAGTGCAGCTTGGAGGACGGCAAAGTTTTCTCAATTCAACGAGTTCAAAATCAGAAATTCCCATACCGGGAGTTGAACCCGGGCCGCCTGGGTGAAAACCAGGAATCCTAACCTCCCGCTAGACCATATGGGAAAGTTACCCACTGCACTCTGGAGGAATAAAATTGGAATACTATGCACGACAATACTTGTTAACACAAGAACGATAGCACATTTCAGTCTTTTTTTTTCTCTTTTCTTGAAGGTACAGTAGAAAATATAGTTGAACTGTTGACAATGAGCCCCTTCTTTTTGTTCAACATGGGAGAAAGAAGCAGCAACCCTGAGGTTTGCCTATCAATTGTCCTGTCCCAGATTTGCACGGGGTAGCTGGAGCTACAAAGCGAATGCTAAGCATTATATGGCTGTGGCCACACTGGTGAAATGGGATAGAATGACTGTTCCATTGCCCCCTGCAGAAATTTGCTGGTTGTCATCGCAAATGTGCAAAAGACAAAAACATTGCCCTTTTTTCACAAGCTTGGACAAAAGTTCATCCTTGTGATACTCCTCTGTTTTATCTGCTATGTCACTGTGAGAAAAACTTTCCTGGCCATTTTTTATCTTCAGGTCAATGCTTGAACAGCTGATTAGTAGAAGCAGCTGTGCCACGTTAGGTTTGAAGCAATACTGAACAAGGACTTGCATGCTGAGGAGCACTCTGCAGTGCACCTCCAAAGATGTCTAAATCATTGCATTTGACAGAGTTAAAGTGAGCGATTTCCATACCGGGAGTTGAACCCGGGCCACCTGGGTGAGAACCAGGAATCCTTACCGCTAGACCATATGGGAAAGATATCCAAATAGTCTACATCAGAATAACAAGAGGAAAAAATCGACACATGATAACATATCAACACAGGAACAATAAGCGCATTCCAATCTTTTATTTTTCTCTCCTTTCAACTCGACCACACGCCTGTCCCAAAAATTGACCAGTCTTTTATTGGCTGAAAAGTTTAAAGGAAAGAGCGTCTACATGTAGAGTGAAAAAAGCCGACTGTCTATGCCCCGGCCGACAGTTGGGCAATCCTGAGATGGAGGCCTGATGGACATGCCTCGTACTTCAAACTTTTTAGCCTTATAAGGGCCAAAATGAAAACCTACAAGGTTGGACTGTCCTGCCCACAAGCTTAGGTTTGTCATACTGTTGAAGTGCTTGAGTCAAAAACTCACCTTCCCATATCAGGAGTCAAATTAAGGCTGCCTTGGTGAGGACAAGGTATCTGAATCCCTTGACCTTCAAGTAGTTTAAGTGCTAATTACAGTGGAATCATTTGTGTAACACTAGTATTGAAACAAAGCATGACAAGGTGCTGGATTGCTGGGACTGACCTGTATTGATAATAATGTAGAGTTTTCTTCAGGCGAACTGAGTGAGTCAAAACCATGTGTTTGCACAAGTGGAAGGTACGCAGAAAAAGTGTGGATAAAACGAACCCCTCTTTTCAGTCCACTCGGGAGAATCGAGCAGCTACTCAGAGCATCGAGTGCCGTGACCCGGATTCGAACCGGGGTTGCTGCGGCGACAACGCAGAGTACTAACCACTATACGATCACGGCGCACAGTAAAAGGGAGATAGAAAAACTGTTCCATGTCCTGCTCGAGAAACTGGCTTGCCATAGTTGCAAATGTGGAGATGACGAAAACATTGCCTTTTTTCACAAGCTTGAGTAAAATTATTCTTTTTATACTGTTCGGTTTCATGTTCTATATCACTGTGACAAAATCTTCTCCTGATTGTTAATCTTCACCTAAAAGTTTGCACAGCTGATTAGTAGAATGGGCCTGGTGTAGAACCTTGCTTATGATAATGGCAAATGTGGAGATGACGAGAACATGAACATTTTTTCACAAGCTTGCACATAAGTACATTTTTGCAATACTGTTCTGTTTGATCTGCCATTTCAATGCGAGAAAATATTTTTGGGATTGCTGATCTTCACGGAAATAGCCGAACTGCTGATTAATAGGATCAGCTGTGCCACATTAGGTTTGATGCAAAAGTTACTCAGGAATTACGCGATTCGGGAAAGCTCTGCAGTGCAGCTTGGAGGACCGACAAAGTTTTCTCAATTCAACGAGTTCAAAATCAGAGATTCCCATACCGGAGTTGAACCTGGGCCGCCTGGGTAAAACCAGGAATCCTAACCGCTAGACCATATGGGAAAAGTTACCCATTGCACTCTGGAGGGAATAAATTGGAATACTATGCACGACAATACTTGTTAACACAAGAACGATAGCACATTTCAGTCTTTTTTTTTTTCTCTTTTCTTGAAGGTACAGTAGAAAATATAGTTGAACTGTTGACAATGAGCCCCTTCTTTTTGGTCAACATGGGAGAAAAGAAGCAGCAACCCTGAGGTTTGCGCCTATCAATTGTCCTGTCCCAGATTTGCACGGGGGTAGCTGGGGCTACAAAGCGGAATGCTAAGCACTATATGGCTGTGGCCACACTGGTGAAATGGGATAGAATGACTGTTCCATTGCCCCCCTGCAGAAATTTGCTGGTTGTCATCATGGAAATGTGCAAAAAGACAAGAACATTGCCCTTTTTTCACAAGCTTGGACAAAAGTTCATCCTTGTGATACTCCTCTGTTTTATCTGCTATGTCACTGTGAGAAAATTTCCTGGCCATTTTTTATCTTCAGGTCAATGCTTGAACAGCTGATTAGTAGAAGCAGCTGTGCCACGTTAGGGTTTGAAGCAATACTGAACAAGGACTTGCATGCTGAGGAGCACTCTCCAGTGCACCTCCAAAGATGTCTAAATCATTGCATTTGACAGAGTTAAAGTGAGCGATTCCCATACCGGGATTGAACCCGGGCCGCCTGGGTGAGAACCAGGAATCCTTACCGCTAGACCATATGGGAAAGATGTCCAAATAGTCTACATCAGAATAACAAGAGGAAAAATACGACACATGATAACATATCAACACAGGAACAATAAGCGCATTCCAATCTTTTATTTTTCTCTCCTTTCAACTCGACCACACGCCTGTCCCAAAAATTGACCAGTCTTTTATTGGCTGAAAAGTTTAAAGGAAAGAGCGTCCACATGTAGAGTGAAAAAAGCCCGACTGTCTATGCCCCGCCGACAGTTGGGCAATCCTGAATGGAGGCCTGATGGACATGCCTCGTACTTCAAACTTTTAGCCTTATAAGGGCCAAAATGAAAACCTACAAGGTTGGACTGTCCTGCCCACAAGCTTAGGTTTGTCATACTGTTAAAGTGCTTGAGTCAAAAACTCACCTTCCCATATCAGAGTCAAATTAAGGCTGCCTTGGTGAGGACAAGGTATCTGAATCCTTGACCTTCAAGTAGTTTAAGTGCTAATTACAGTGGAATCATTTGTGTAACACTAGTATTGAAACAAAGCATGACAAGGTGCTGGATTGCTGGGACTGACCTGTATTGATAATAATGTAGAGTTTTCTTCAGGCGAACTGAGTGAGTCAAAACCATGTGTTTGCACAAGTGGAAGGTACGGCAGAAAAAGTGTGGATAAAAGCAGCCCCCTCTTTTCAGTCCACTCGGGAGAATCGAGCAGCTACTCAGAGCATCGAGTGCGTGACCCGGATTCGAACCGGGGTTGCTCTGGCGACAACGCAGAGTACTAACCACTATCGATCACGGCGCACAGTAAAAAGGAGATAGAAAAACTGTTCCATGTCCTGCTCGAGAAACTGGCTTGCCATAGTTGCAAATGTGGAGATGAGCGAAAACATTGCCTTTTTTCACAAGCTTGAGTAAAATTATTCTTTTTTATACTGTTCGGTTTCATGTTCTATATCACTGTGACAAAATCTTCTCCTGATTGTTAATCTTCACCTAAAAGTTTGCACAGCTGATTAGTAGAATGGGCCTGGTGTAGAACCTTGCTTATGATAATGGCAAATGTGGAGATGACGAGAACATGAACATTTTTTCACAAGCTTGCACATAAGTACATTTTGCAATACTGTTCTGTTTGATCTGCCATTTCAATGCGAGAAAATATTTTTGGGATTGCTGATCTTCACGGAAATAGCCGAACTGCTGATTAATAGGATCAGCTGTGCCACATTAGGTTTGATGCAAAAAGTTACTCAGGAATTACGCGGTCGGGAAAGCTCTGCAGTGCAGCTTGGAGGGCGGCAAAGTTTTCTCAATTCAACGAGTTCAAAATCAGAAATTCCCATACCGGGAGTTGAACCCGCCGCCTGGGTAAAAACCAGGAATCCCTAACCGCTAGACCATATGGGAAAGTTACCCACTGCACTCTGGAGGAATATAATAGGAATACTATGCGACAATACTTGTTAACACAAGAGCGATAGCACATTTCAGTCTTTCATTTTTCTCTCTTTCTTGAAGGTACAGTAGAAAATATAGTTGAACTGTTGACAATAGGCCCCTTCTTTTTGGTCAACATGGGAGAAAAGAAGCAGCAACCCTGAGGTTTGCGCCTATCAATTGTCCTGTCCCAAGATTTGCACGGGGGGTAGCTGGGGCTACAAAGAATGCTAAGCACTATATGGCTGTGACTGGCCACACTGGTGAAATGGGATAAGAATGAGTTCTGTTCCATTTTGGACCTAAGTTCATCCTTGCTGGTTTGTCATCGCAAATGTGCAAAAAACAAAACATTGCCCTTTTTTCTGAAGCTGATTAGGACAAAAATGCTTCAGAAGACTTGAATGCTGATTCCAACTCCTACAGTTTACCTGCTATGTCTAAATCATTGCATTTGACAGAGTTAAGGAGCGATTCTACCATTTTTAATTATCTTCTGGTCAAGGAATCATGCACCGCTAGACCAGGGAAAAGATGTCCCAAATAGTCTACATCAGAATAACAAGAGGAAAACATTAACATAACCAAGCAGGATAATGTGAATTCCATTTTCTCTGCATGCTTTCGACCTGCGCACCCAAATTGACCAGTCACCTCGTCCCAAAATAAGACTAAATCATTGCATTTATTACACAGTTAAAATAAGATGATTCCTTATGGAAGAAAGCTTCAAACTTTAGCCTCCTGGGTGAGAACCTAGAATCATGGGCAATCCTAGACCATATGGGAAAGGTTGTCCAAATAGTTAGCCATCAAATTAAAAAACTCGCCTTCCATATCCATGGTTTGTCATATCAAGGCTGCCTTGAAGGACAAATAAACATTTCCAATCTTTTATTTTTCTCTGGAATCATTTCGACCACTAGTATTGAACAAAAAGCATGACAGGTGTCTTTTTGCTTGGACTGACAAAGTATTAAAGCAATGTAGGGTTTTCTTCATGTGTTAACTGAGTGAGTCAAAACCATGTTTGCACAAGTGGAAGTTGGGCAGAAAGATAGTGGATAAAACGGCCCCTCTTTTCAGTCCACTCGAGAATCGAGCCGCTTCAGAGCATCGGCCGTGACCGGATTCAACCGGGGTTGCTAAGGCCTAGCGTTGGACTGTCCAACCACCATAAGATCCAGGTTTGCAAAGGGAAAGATAGAAAACTGTTCCATGTCCTGCTCGAAAACTGCACCTTCCATATCAGAGATGGCGAAACAAAGGCTTTTTCCAAAGCTTGGAAAAATTATTCTTTTTCAGAGTACTGTTCGGTTTTCATGTTCTCTATTAAAAATCTTCTCCTGATTGTTAATCTTCACCTAAACACTGGTATTACGAAACAAAAGCACTTGTAGAACCTTGCGCGTGCAAATGTGGATTGCTGGGACTGAACATTTTTGATAATAATGTAGGGAGTTTTCTGTTTGATCTGCCATTTCAATGCTGAAAATATTTTTAACCATGTCATTTGCACAAGTGGAATAGGATCAGTTGTACTTAGAAAAAGTGTGGATAAAACAGGCCCCCTGGCTACCAGTCCACTCTGAGCATCCAGAGGACAGCAAAATTTCTCAATTCAACAGGTTCAAAATAAGACGGGGTTGCTTGAACCGGGCTTGGGTGAAAACCAGGAATCTAACCACTATCCATATGGGAATGTACCCACTGCACTCTGGAGAATAAATCGGAATACTAACTGTTCCATGTCCTGCTGGAGCAACCGGCAGGCCATAGTTTTCTCTCTTTCTTGAATGTGAAAACATATAGCCTTTTTGTGACAATGAGGTAAAATTGGTCTTTTTATACTGTTCGGTTCCTATTTCTATATCACTGTGACAAAATCTTTGCCACGGGGATTGAAAGCCCGGAATCTTCACCTAAAAGTTTGGCCACAGCTGAAATAGGATAAGATAAGCATTCCATTGCCCCCTGTAGAACCTTGCTGGTTGTCATCGCAAATGTGCAAAAATACAAGAACATGAACATTTTTCTGAAAGCTTTCACATAGAGTTCATTTTTGCAATATGCTCCTCTGTTTTTATCTGCCATTTCAAAAGCGAAAATATTTTTGGGATTTTTTATCTTCAGGTCAATGCTTGAACTGCTGATTAATAAATCCCAGCTGTGCCCGCACGTTAGGTTTGACAATACTGAACAAGGACTTGCATGCTGAGGAGCACTCTTGAGTGCAGCGGAGGGCGTCAAAGTTTTTTCTCAATTCCGCGAGTTCAAAATCGAGATTCCCACACGGAGTTGAACCCTGGGCGCCTGGGTGGAAAACCAGGAATCCCTAACGCTAGACCATATAGGAAAGATGTCCAAATAATCTACATCAAGAATAACAAAAAGAGGAAAAATGACACACTGACAACACCCTCAACACAGGAACAATAAGCGCATTCAATCTTTTATTTTCTCTCCTTTCAACTCGACCACACGCCTGTCCCAAAAATTGACCAGTCTTTTATTGGCTGAAAAGTTTAAAGGAAAGGCGTCTACATGTAGAGTGAAAAAGCCCGACTGTCTATGCCCGGCCGACAGTTGGGCAATCCTGAATGGAGGCCTGATGGACATGCCTCGTACTTCAAACTTTTAGCCTTATAAGGGCCAAAATGAAACCTACAAGGTTGGACTGTCCTGCCCACAAGCTTAGGTTTGTCATACTGTTGAAGTGCTTGAGTCAAAACTCACCTTCCCATATCAGGAGTCAAATTAAGGCTGCCTTGGTGAGGACAAGGTATCTGAATCCTTGACCTTCAAGTAGTTTAAGTGCTAATTACAGTGGAATCATTTGTGTAACACTAGTATTGAAACAAAGCATGACAAGGTGCTGGATTGCTGGGACTGACCTGTATTGATAATAATGTAGAGTTTTCTTCAGGTTAACCGGTGGAGCTCAAAAACCGTGTTTTTACAGAAGTGGAAGGTAACGCAGGTGTGTGGATAAAATCTATAGCCCCTCTTTTCAGTCCACCGAGAATCGAGCCGCTACTCAGAGCATCGAGTGCACGTGACCGGATTGAACCCGGGGTTGCCTTTCGCCGCCTAACATGAGTACCAACCACTATCACGATCACGTTGCAACAGTAAAAGGGAGATAGAAAAACTGTTCCATGTCCTGCGAGAAACTGACACACCGCCTAGTTGCAAATGTGGAATGTGAAAACATTGCACTTTTTCACAAGCTTGAGGTAAATTATTCTTTTTATACTGTTCGGTTTCATGTTCTATATCACTGTGACCAAAATCTTCTCCTGATTGTTAATCTTCACACAAAAGTTTACAGCTGATTAGTAGAATGAATGGCCCAGAACCTTGCTTGCCGTGATAATAAGCAAATGAGATGACGAGAACATGAACATTTTTTTCACAGCTTTTTTTATAAAGTACATTTTTAATACTGTTCTGTTTGATCTGCCATTTCAATGCGAGAAAATATTTTGGGATTGCTGATCTTCACGGAAATAGCCGAACTGCTGATTAATAGGATCAGCTGTGCCATTAGGTTTGATGCAAAAGTTACTCAGGAATTACGCGGTCGGGAAAGCTCTGCAGTGCAGCGGAGGACGGAAAAGTTTTCTCAATTCAACGAGTTCAAAATCAGAGATTCCCATACCGGAGTTGAACCGGCGCCTGGGTGAAAACCAGGAATCCTAACCGCTAGACCATATGGGAAAGTTACCCACTGCACTCTGGAGGAATAAAATTGGAATACTATGCGACAATACTTGTTAACAAAAGAGCGATAGCACATTTCAGTCTTTTATTTTCTCTCTTTCTTGAAGGTACAGTGAAAATATAGTTGAACTGTTGACAATGAGCCCCTTCTTTTTTGGTCAACATGGGAGAAAGAAGCAGCAACCCGGGAGGTTTGCCCTATCAATTTCCTGTCCCAGATTTGCAGGGGTAGCTGGGGCTACAAAGCAGAAGCTAAGCACTATATGGCTGTGGCCACACCTGGTGAAATGGGATAGAATGACTGTTCCATTGCCCCCTGCAGAAATTTGCTGGTTGTCATCGCAAATGTGCAAAAGACAAGAACATTGCCCTTTTTTCACAAGCTTGGACAAAAAGTTCATCCTTGTGATACTCCTCTGTTTTATCTGCTATGTCACTGTGGAAAATTTCCTGGCCTTTTTTTATCTTCAGGTCAATGCTTGAACAGCTGATTAGTAGAAGCAGCTGTGCCACGTTAGGTTTGAAGCAATACTGAACAAGGACTTGCATGCTGAGGAGCACTCGGGGCGTGCACCTCCAAAGATGTCTAAATCATTGCTTTGACAGAGTTAAAGTGAGCGATTCTCCGGGGAGTTAACCCGGGCCCCTGGGGAGAACCGGGAACCACCGCTAGACCTAGGGAAAGATCCCCAAATGTCTACTCAGAATAAAAGGGAAAAAAAAATTTGCACATAAAACATATCAACAGGAACAATAAGCGTTTCCCAAATTTTTATTTTTTCCTTTCAACCGACCACCCCCTTTCCCAAAAAAATTGACCGTTTTTTTATTGGGGAAAAATTTAAAAGGAAAAAGCGCCTGTAAAAAAAAAAGCCCGACTGTTTCCCCCCCCGACAGTTGGGCAACCCTGAATGGGGGCCTGAGGGACATGCCTGTTTTCCTTTACCCTTTAAAAAGGGCCAAAATAAAACCAAAAGGGTTTGGGACTGTCCCCCCGGGGGTTTTTCATACTGGAAGGTTAGTAAAAAAACCCCCCTATCAGGAGTAAAATTTAAAGGGTCCTTTGAGGACAAGGATCTGAATCCTTTACCTTCGTATTTAAGGGCAATTACAGGGGGAACATTTGTGAAATAGTATTGAAACAAAATGAAAAGGGTGCTGGTTTGGGGTACCGTAGATAAAAATGGGGTTTTTTCAGGCGAATGGGATCAAAACCATGTTTTTGCACAATGGGAAAGGCGGCAAAAAAATTTTGGAAAAAAAACCCCCCTTTTTTTATCCACTGGGGAGAATGACCCCTTCTCGAGCATCGACCCCGGACCCGGGTTAACCCCGGGGGTTTCCCCCGCGAACAACCCCTACTCCGGCCCATAAAGGGGGATAAAAAAACTGTTCCATGTCCCTTTGGGTTTGGCTTTGTTCAAATTGGGAAGGAAAACATTCCTTTTTTTACAAGTTGAGTAAAAATTCTTTTTTTTACGTTGGCATTTTCCCATATCACGTGAAAAATCTTCTCCTGATTGTTTAACTTCCCCAAAAAATTTTCCCATTAGTAGAATGGGCCGGTGGGAACCTTTTCAGTAAGGCAAAGGGGAATGGGAACATGAACATTTTTTTAAAGCTTGCACAAAAATACTTTTTTTCAATACTGTTCGTTTATTCCTTTTTAAGCGAAAAATATTTTTGGGATTGCTGTTTTTACGGAAATGAACTGCTGTTAAAGGATCAGCTGGCCATTTGGGTTTGATAAAAAGTTATGGGAAATTTAAAACCGGTGGGGAAAGCCCCATCATTGGGGGGGGGAAAAAATTTTCCCAATTCCGGTTCAAAATCAGAGATTCCCCCCGGGAGTTAACCGGGCCCCCGGGGGGCCGAACTAACCGCAACCAGGGGGAAATTACCCTGCACTCTGGGGGGGAAAAAATTTGGGGAAACTACCCCAACAATCTTTTAACAAAAAAACATAGCACATTTCAGTTTTTTTATTTTTTTTTTTCTTGGGTCGAAAAAAAAAGTTGAACTGTTGCAATCCCCCTTTTTTTTGGTCAACATGGGAAAAAAAACGAACCCTGATTTTGGCCTATCAACCCCTGCCCCCAGATTTCCCAGGGGGGTAGGGGGGCAAAACGAATCTAACCCACTTTTTTTCCCCACTGGTGAAAGGGGATAGAAGGGCTTTTCCCTTTTCCCCCCTGCAGAAATTTGCGGGGTTTTCACCCCAAAAATGCAAAAGACAAGAAATTTTTTTTTTTTTCCAAAACGGGCAAAAGTTCACCCTTTTATACTCCTCTGTTTTTCTGCTATGTCACTGTGAGAAAATTTTGGCCATTTTTTATTTTTAGGTCAATGCGAAAAGCTGATTAGTAAAACAGCTTCCCCGTTGGGTTTTAAGCAATCTGAAAAGGACTTGCTGGGGCACTCTGCAGTGCACCTCCAAAGATGTCTAAATCATTGCATTTGCAGATTTAAAAATAACGATTATCCCGGGAGTTAAACCCCGGGCCTGGGTGAAACCAGGAATCCCCCCCGCTAGACCATATGGGAAAGATGTCCAAATAGTCTACATAAAGAATAACAAGGGGAAAAATCGACACATGATAACATATCAACACAGGAACAAAAAAAGCGCTTTCCCAATCTTTTATTTTTCTCCCTTTCAACCCCCCGCCCTGCCCCAAAAAATTGACCAGTCTTTTATTGGAAAAAAAATTTAAAAAAGGGAAAAGCGTCTACATTAAAAAGTAAAAAAAGCCCGACTGTCTATCCCCCCGGGCCCCGACAGTTGGGCAATCCTAAATGGAGGCCTGATGGACACCTCGTACTTCAAATTTTTTAGCCTTAAAAGGGGCCCAAAATGAAAACCTACAAGGTTGGACTGTCCTGCCCACAAGCTTAGGTTTGTCATCTGTTGAAGTGCTTGGTAAAAAACTCACCTTCCCATATCAGGAGTAAAATTTAAAAGGGCTCCTTGGTGGGGGAAAAATTATCTGAACCCCTTGACCTTCAAGTAGTTTAAGTGCTAATTACAGTGGAATCTTTTGTGTAACATAGTATTGAAACAAAGCATGAAAAAGGTGCTGGATTGTGGGACTGACCTGTATTGATAATAATGTAGAGTTTTCTTCAGGGAACTGAGTGAGTCAAAACCTTGTTTGCACAAGGGGAAAGGGTGGGCCCAGAAAAATGGGATAAAAAACCCCCCTTTTTTTAGCCCCTTTTGGGGAGAATCGGGGGCCCTCCCCAAACATCGGTCCCGTGCCCGGGAAACCGGGTTTCGCCCCCTGGGGGAGCCCAACCACTACGACCCGGCCACAGTAAAAAGGAAAGAAAAACTGTTCCATTTTAAAAAAGGAAACTGGCTTGCCATTTTCCCCAAAATTGGAGAGGAAAAACTTGCCTTTTTTCAAAAAAGCGGTAAAATTATTCTTTTATCTTTTGGTTTCATGTTCTTTTCCTGTGAAAAAAATCTTCTCCTGATTGTTAATCTTCCCCCAAAAAAGTTTGCCAGCTGATTAGTAAATGGGCCTGGTGTAGAACCTTGCTTATGATAATGGCAAATGTGGAGATAGCAAAGAACATGAACTTTTTTCCTAAGCTTGCACATAAGTACATTTTTGCAATACTGTTCTGTTTGATCTGCCATTTCAATGCAGAAAATATTTTTGGGATTGCTGATCTCCCGGGGAAATAGCGAACTGCTGATTAATAGGATCAGCTGTGCCACATTAGGTTTGATGAAAGTTCTCAGGAATTGGGGTGGAAAGCTCTGCAGTGCAGGCTTGGAGAGGCAAAATTTTTTCCCCAATTCACTGAGTTCAAAATCAGAAATTCCCATACCGGGAGTTGAACCCGGGCCCCCTGGGTGAAAACCAGGAATCCAAACCCGCTAGACCATATGGGAAAGTTACCCACTGCACTCTGTAGGGAATAAAATTGGAATACTATCCGACAATACTTGTTAACACAAAACGATAGCACATTTCAGTCTTTTTTTTTTTCTCTCTTTCTTGAAGGTAAAAGTAAAATATAGTTGAACTGTTGACAATAGGCCCTTCTTTTTGGTCAACAGGGGAGAAAGAAGCCAACCTGAGGTTTCGCCTATCAATTGTCCTGTCCCAGATTTGCCGGGGTAGCTGGGGCTACAACCGGGAAAGCTAAGCACTATATGGCTGTGGCCACACTGGTGAAATGGGATAGAATGACTGTTCCATTGCCCCTGCAGAAATTTCTTTGGTTGTCATCGAAATTGCAAAAGACAGAACATTGCCCTTTTTCCAAGCTTGGACAAAAGTTCATCCTTGTGATACTCCTCTGTTTTATCTGCTATGTCACTGTGAGAAAATTTCCCGGCCATTTTTTTTCTTCAGGTCAATGCTTGAACAACTGATTAGTAAACAGCTTCAAAGCAGTTAGGTTTGAGCAATACTTGAAAAAGGACTTGCATGCTGGGAGCACTCTGCAGTGCACCTCAAAGATGTCCCAAATCATTGCATTTGACAGAGTTAAAGTGAGCGATTCCCATACCGAGTTGAACCCGGCCGCCTGGGTGAGAACCCGAATCCTTACCTAGACCATATGGGAAAGATGTCCAAATAGTCTACATCAGAATAACAAAAAAGGAAAAATACGACACATGATAACATATCCCAAAGGGAAAAATAAGCGCATTCCAATCTTTTATTTTTTCTCTCCTTTCAACTCGACCACCGCCTGTCCCAAAAAATTTACCAGTCTTTATTGGCTGAAAAGTTTAAAGGGAAAGCGTCTACATGTAGAGTGAAAAAACCCACTGTCTATGCCCGGCCGACAGTTGGGCAAACCTGAATGGAGCCTGATGGACATGCCTCGTACTTCAAAATTTTTATTATAAGGGCCAAAAAGAAAACCTACAAGGTTGGACTGTCCTGCCCACAGCAGGTTTGTCATACTGTTGAAGTGCTTGAGTCAAAAACTCACCTTCCCATATCAGAGTCAAATTAAGGCTTTGGTGAGGACAAAAGGGATCTGAATCCCTTGACCTTCAAGTAGTTTTAAGTGCTAATTACAGTGGAATCATTTGTGTAACACTAGTATTGAAACAAAAGCATGACAAGGTGCTGGATTGCTGGGGGTGACCTGTATTGATAATAATGTAAGTTTTTTTAGGCAACTGAGTGAGTCAAAAAACCCTTTTTTGCACAAAAGGGGAAGGTCGGCAAAAATGGGATAAAAAGAGCCCC